TTGTTAGCGTTGTAAATTTATAAAAATAATAAATAATAAAATATTTCAGATGAATTTTGAAGAAAATTCAGAAATGCAATCACAACATTTAATAAATGACAAATTACCTATTCCGGAAATGGATTTAGGAAATTAAATGATATAAGCAATGACAAATAATTTAATTAGTATTATTTATCATCCATTTTTCATTTAATTTTAGCTTAATTATTCACCTCTAAATTATATTCATTATCAAATAGATAATTTGAACGAATTATTATTTATTGCCAAATTTTTTATAAAAATTTCCATTGCTTCTTGTTAATTTCCTTCTTTTTTAATACAAAATATTACTTAAATCAATTTTTTTTTTTTTTTGTTTTTAGTAAAATAATCATTTTTAACAATAGTTCAAATGAAAAAAAATAGCTAAAACTGTGACAGATCAAAACAGGTATCTTCGGTATTATTTCATAAACAATGCACTCAATTTGATTGTCTTAATTAATTTAATTTAATTAATTTAAATGTTACCATCGATCATCGGTCATTAATATTTTTCGTAATGATAAATTATATACTCATAAAAAAAACATTAATTTAATTTAAAATATAAGAATAGTTGAAATGCAATGGATAAAAATAAATGTTCCAGCAAACATTAGCGAAAAAATCTCTGCTTCCTTTATTCTTTTCATTAATTTAATTAAACAGACTGAAAAAGATCAAATTAAATGGTTCATTTATCACTAATAAATACTAAAATTAACAATGAAAAACGTAAATCTAAATATCTCTTTATTCTAAATTTAATTGCAACTTTTCAAATTAATTATTTTAGTACTAATTATCAAATATATTTCATTTCATTTCCTTCTTTTTTTTCCCTGCTACATGCTAAGTTAGCCATTCGTTTAACACAAGCATTTCACTTTACCTTCCATATCTTATCATTGCCTTTTTTTTTCCTTTCATTTTTTTTTTTGATCTGATGGTCTTTTTCAAGGCCACGCAATTTTTATTTTGTTTTATGCTTTGATCCTACCCATTCCAATAAATCAAAAAAGTGTAATTACATTAAAATTTTTGTATAGTACAAAAACATTTTTTTTTTTTCTTTCTTTGAGCAATTAATTGCTTGCCATTAGTTTACTATGCAAAAAAAACGATTTTGTCCGTAAATATTGTTTGTTGGCAGAATGCAATAAATCAATTTGAAAATTTTAACTTTTATCAAATTTAATTTTTTTATCACTTTTAAATAAAAAAAAAAGAATGATATTATTATGAAAGAAATCGATATAAGTAACTTTTTTTTCGATGTTTTTATTTTTTTGCCACCTATCATATTTATTATTTTAATGTCAAATTATTGATTTGTTTTATTTTTTTTCATTTCAAGCAAAAATATTCAATTATTCTATTTTATTCTTTTAATTAAATATTTAAATAAATTTATTTATATTTTATTATCATTTCATTAACTTTTTGGCATGACAATTTTTTCCCAAATTTGAACATTTTTATTGGAATCTCATTTCTTAATAAAATATTTGGCATATAATTAATTAAAAATAATATATGTGCAATTAAATAGCAAATGATTAATTAAGAATTTTAACTTTTTTCCACCATTTTTTTGTGATAAATATAAAAAAATTCCAATGAAATTTTTGGAAATGAATGAATAAATTTGTTCAGAAATTGTGAAATATATTTATGCAAAAAGAAAAAAATATTTTGTAATTTGAAATTAGAAATGATATATGATTAATTAATTCCTATCAAATTAATGACATATTGGAAGTAACAAAATAAAATAAGGTACGTTTTGTACATAAAATGAAAATAATTGTTGATATTGGAAGTGATTTAAGGAATGAATGATGTATGAAATTACATTTTAGTCATTTTAATTTTATTAAAATTTAAATTACTTAAAAATACAAATGCTTTTGACGATGTATCGAATTACTTTAACCATTTCTATACTGGAATTCAAATTCTTTTTCAGACTTTTACCCGAATATTAATTTTTTCATAAAATGATAAAAATAAAACTGAAATTATTAAAACAGAACAATGCAATAAATGGCAAAATATATCGTGAAAATAGGAAAAAAAACCATGAAAATACTAATTAATACAAATTAAAACATTTAATCATTTGACCTGTTATTAATATTACACTCCGGAAATCGATTAACATTTAAAATATTACTGATAAGTATTAATAAAATTATGGAATGAACAAACCGGATTAATCCAATGTGACCGTGTCATCATTTTTGCCTAAATTTTGATCCAATTTTAAATTTTAGGATTCATTTCCTCCATCCAAAAATTCATTGTTGTTTTTTTTTCAAAATTTATTGTTGATTTCATCAAATAACCCCTCTATTATCGAAACATTTTTTGATATTTAATGAAATTATTAAACTATTCAGCATTTTTTTTTCTTTTATTCTCTAAGCATTTTTAATCACTTATTTGTTCTTTCTTCTTCCTCTCTTTTCTTTTTTTTTTCGCAAAAATGAAGAGAGAGAAATTTTTAGAAATGTTTCATGAAATTGCATTCATTTTCTTTTTCCCAGCATTGTACGAAATTTCAAAAAATTTTTCTCTCTTTTAAAGTTCCATTTTTTTTTTGTTTTTTATTTTTAATTTTCTATTTTTTTAATTATTTTTTCTTTCAAATTTTTTAGTGTATAAATTACTAAAATAAAAATGAAACACATTATTTTAACATTTATTAAATGAAAAAAAAGTCAAAAGTAAAAAAAAAAAGAGATTATATATTATTAAATTACTTTTTCAATGATGAACTTTTTTTTCCATACATTTGCATGATTTAAAATATATAAAAAAAATCTGAAACATAAATTTTAAAAATTTTCCAGAAACTTCTTAATCCTTTGCTTTTTCTTTCGCATTCAGCCATTGCTGTAAGCTATTATTTCGTACAACGTGAAGGGAAGATTTATTACTTGAAAGCTTCCACTATTTTTTACTACTACTATTATTATTATTATTATTATTACTATTATTATTATTACTATTATTATTATTACTAGTATTATTATTATTATTATTATTATTATTATTATTATTATT